CCCCCCCCCTCCCGGCTCTCCCGCGGGCGGTCTTCGCGCGTCAGGTACTCCGCGCGTCAGCTACTACCCGAGGGGGGATAGGGGGATACGTGGCGTACTTCCTGGTAGTTTCCAGCTTCTTTTCCATTATGCTCTAAATAATCTCTGTAATAGGAAACACTTCTTTGGTTTGACTTCACACCGGTTGGGTTGACATAGTCCCGAGCTGACTTAAGTGGACCCCTTGCAATCCCAACCCCCTAGCAACAAGCCTGCCGAAGAATGGAGAATCAGATGCAAGAGAGAACGGAGAATGAGATGGACGCTGGGTTAGGGGTTATTAGAGATTATCCTGATAAGGTGATAATTACGGGAGACAAACATGCACGATCGCACTGGCAAAGCTCAGAGCATAATCAGGGTCCTGTTTGGAAAAACCTACGGCACAAGATGTTTATTATTCATACCATGCGGCACAAGGCGTGAGAATCAATGATGTGACCTGCATGTGCTCGTGTCCACGCGGCATTGAAACGACCAACGCGTCGATGGTTGGAAGCCAACGCAATAACTCCCAAAGCAAGTTGAATTCATTGGTATGTGAATCACATGTTCCTGCGAGAAAACTGAGGTAGAGTGCTTATACCCTCACACTTGCGGTGCCTACTGGTGACTCATCAAGTCTTCATGATGAACACCTCGCCGTTGCAGAATCTATTCTTTGGAGATCCCTCCGCACTGGCAATCCTGGAGGAGCGGCAGCGCATGCTGAAAATTCTAAGCAAGCTGGAGATGTACCAAACCCGCAAACTGGCACAGCGAGAGATGAAGATGCTTGAAGATCCAAATCTCGTGGAAGCTCAAGAGGGAGTGTCGTTTTGTTGTTGGGTCTCTGAGCCCGAAGAGTCTCAGCCGACCTGGTTGCCTGCCGACGGCTCGCGACAAGCTTTACGGATTGCTGAATTGTTGCATGGTTGGCAGGAGTCCTTGTCCTTTCAGGAGAAGGCCAAACTGCATATTGCTAGAGCCTTGATCATGAACCCAGAGATCTTAATACTGGAGAAGCCTCTCATGAATTTCGACGACTACGAAGCAAATTTGGTGATGGATGTTCTACATGAGCACATCGCAAATCGAGGTGTTGAGCTGTCTGTGCAAACCCGGAATCGACGCAGGCCCCGAACTTGTTTCTACAGTGCTGAGCACGTGAGCAAGACTGATAGGCCCGACGTTGTCTGGAAACTGACAAACGGTGGAATTGTGGAAGAGGAGGAGATTCCTGTGGATCTCCCAAGTGCGAGACGGGTGAGCTCCAGGATTTCATCCATGGCTGAAGCAGCTAAGCAGGCAATGCTGCCCAGTGAGGGAAAGGGCGGTAATGTAGAAGCCTAAATGATTACCCCATTGTGGCCGTAAAGTCTTTGCAAGAAAAACATGGGGTACCTCAAATAGGTCTCAAGATGATATTGGCAATTTTTTAGGCCCTACATTCATTTGCAAAGGGCAGCGCTGACCGGCCGCTGAAACATGGCAGGCCTAGGTTCAGCATCAGCATAAGTGGAGGTGAACCATATTCGGGAACTTAGGGGGCGCATAGCTGGGGTATACCTATACTGGTACTCGGGTTGTACCCTAAACCTCCCTGTATGACCCAAAAAATCTCTTGGGACCTGAGGTGCAATAGCACAACCACCAGGCAGTGCCTCCTTCATCAGCTTATTCTCGCAATGCTGCCGTAACTCCTTGAAGGAGATACCGCGATGTTGCTAAGCTACATATGGTCAGCAAGCTCGAAAAATTGTCCAGTGTGACGCTGTTTGCGAGGAGGGTGACGACCCCCAGAGCAAGGGCCAACATTGCTTACAGGGTGCAGGTGGTTATCCCAATTATGTGTTGTCGAAGTGGGGCGATTTCTGAATCTTTAGCGGTGGTTCACATCCCATAGCTGGATTTGTCGTCATCAGCACACAGGCGCAAACAGAACAGTTTTACAGAAAGAGGGGAAGCCATGCATCTGAACCTCGGTACAGGGGAGTCTCCATGCTGTAGATTATGTGAGTCAAGGACGTTTTGCTTACTTTGCAGAAATTGCAATCTACAGCCCTAAGCAGATGCGGCAAAGGAACACCCTGGACTTGCCTGCCTGGCACCAAGACACTGTGAAGAGGCTGAATCTCCAGCAGAGATCATGCAGGCTGAACTGGGATTCGGTGATTGGACGTTTGAACTCGATCCCCCTTTGGCCAAGCGGCCTAGGCATGAATCTTGCATCCACATGGCTAAGGTCTGACTTGAGCTGCGAGGTTCACTCAGCTAGAGGGATCAAGCTGAAAGTCGCCTTTTGGTGTCCGTGGAGTGTACGAGCTCGTGGCTTCACCAAGGGCAGATCAGAGCAAGCTGTGATTCTGGTCGACCGAGATCTGAATGCTGAACAGCAGCAAAAGTCCTCATACACGCTTGGTCCACCTCCCCCAACATCTGGGCGACCCCCAGAGGCACGCGTGATACAACTGCTTGAGGATGCACTTCGAAGATTGATTTCATGAAGTCCCAGCAAGTGTCGGGGGACGTAGAGATACTTCCCTACCCCTTACACAGCTGAAGTCTCAGAGCTTGCTAATTCTCTCGATTGCTTTGGCCGAGTTGCGCTCTAGTGCTCCCTCGGCTTGCAGGCTTTGGGATGAGAACGGGTTACCGCATTCGTTTATTTGGCCCAAGTATTGCTTGCTGGCCTGGCTGGATACCTCACCAAGAGGTCGGTACCGTACCTGTTATGCTGCTTTTCCCTGGGCTTCTGACAGGTTATGGCCTTGCGAATACCCTGCGCCTGGGCACCTGCGATAGGTACCCTGCAAGTTGGAGCCTGAGTCTGAGTTGATGTTAATTTCCCGTAGGCAGAGGCAGAGTCAAAGACTTAAGGTGCCGCAGGCCTACGCTCCTCCAGCTCTTCTCGAGCGACAGAGCAGGCACTGCGTTTGACAATGCCAAGAAAGCACACAACAAACCGAATCTAACTTCACATCAAGAAGCTACCAAACTGACCGTCTTATAAGACTAGATATGCAGAATCTTGCAAGTGTAGAATCCTGCTTGGCAAAGTCGGCAGCTTCTGCCACGTTTTGGGATGATGCTGCCAAATCGCCATAACGACATTTACGACATGTCCTCAGCATCTCGCGTCCCTGGCGTCTTGCCTCCTCCGCATCCTTGGCGTCCCTGGTGTCCTCGGCGTCCCCAGCATCCCTGACTCTGCTTCCGCTCAAAGTTGCACATGCAATGAGCGTCAGCCGATAAACATGGAGCACATGTTCTTTGAACATGGTAGGTTCACAGATGCAAATCCAATTAATAATCAAATTGGGTAAGTTTCTTTCAAATTTCTGCTAATAGCTTGACAACTTGATGGCTTTGATTGCAATGCAATCATCAAAATTACATCATAAAGTGAGCTGCTTGAGGTCACTGTCACGTTCAAGAGCTCGAATGCAAGCAAATGACATCAAGTGACAAAAAGATCATCACCAGGCCGCGGTTGCACAATGCATCAAAAGATCAATATGACATCAGTTCAAAACACAAAAGGCCAGGCTTTTTATGAACGACTTTTCGTTCCTCATGGTGGTGAGGATGAATCAAATCTAGTGACAAGGTGACACCACCAAAATGTCAAGATCAAAGGCATTTTTGACGTCGATTTCTGTTCACCTAAATGATTGGGAAATGACAATCAATGACCAGGCAGAGTGCATGCTCAATTCATGTCTTCGTCGTGATGACACTAAATGTCAAGGAGAAGACGTTCTGAATTCAGGTTTTGATCACTGGGATGAGGATCGAATGACGCCACAAATGATCAGACGAAGGAATGTTATATTCAGCTTTCTTTTGTCAAATGATAACGAAGAACATGCATCGTCAAGGTGGAATTCGTGTTGGCTGGTCAATTGACATCGAAATGACTAAGGAGGAGGAATCCATAATCCCATATTGGCTCGTCTATTTGATAGTCATTAAATACAGGTTACAAAGCATTTAGAACTGATTGCTTCGTCATCCAAATGATGATACACGACTGATTCACTCGGGGGCATCAAAAGTATGATCAGCTCACACAGCATGTCAAAGAAAAGGAATTCGAATTCAATTTTTCGTTATCCAGATGAGCCGAGTTGACACCAAACGAAAAGCTAGAAGACATGTGAACTTGCTTTGTTGCCGCATGGAGATTAGAATAAAACCAATGACAGGGTAGGACGTGTTTCGAATTCAGTTCTGATTCGTCAACATGTGATCAAAACACACGAAATCACAAGATGAAAAGCATGTCAGTTGAATCTTTGACCAGATCAATGACGCAAAAGGAAGGTGCAACGTGAAACAATAAACTGTGCCTTTTTTCCTGTCTTGAAGAAGTGTAGTTACGCTGGCTTCCGAGCGAGACTTTCAAAGTTGACAAGTATAGTGCATTTGCGTTTTAGACTGCGTTAAAACTTTGGTTTTTTATGACATGTGTGGAGCATCTCTGAGATGTTGAGTTTTTCAGGTATTTTCGACATCTCATAACATCCGGGCAAAGGCTTTGTTTCCAAGCTTAATATCAACCACTCCAGGCACCAAGGGATCTCTTCAAAGTCCATGGCCAGGATTCCCAGCATCCCTGCCCTTTGTCGTCCCTGGAGTCCCTGGAGCACATATAATCGAAATCGCAGGGTGAACATCGCGACCGACAGTGCAAGCAAGTGTGCAAGATCTTTTTCTGCCCAGCCAGGCCTGGATACAGAGGCCGAGAACAGCCTGGGCGGCGTCTTGTGCAGGCAAGAGCAAGCTTTTTTGCACAATCTATGAGGGGGGTACAGCAGTTTTCCCTGCCCAACGCCTTTAATGTGGTCTGATAGTGGCAGCACCTTCAGTCAAGAGCGGCGGATGTAGATTCTACCTACTTGAGGAATCTTGATTCGCATGACTGGTTGGGCACAGGGCAGCTGGACAATGTAATTCTGAACGTCTTGAAACTTGGCCACTCGAAAACATCCTGTCCACCCCATTGTCAACAACAGAGACTCATGAGAAATTAAGTATTCTTGAGGCTGAAATATTTGAAAAAGCAGGCGAGCAGCTCGAGCGCTTCCAAAACAGGCGTGATAATCAAAATGCAAAATTGAAAACGGCAAGCAAGACAGAACGTTGCAATGCTCAAGGCAGTCGTATTACAAGTCCGGTAAACCTTCCGCCTTCCGCAACAGTGACAAGCAGGGCCTTGCTGCCGGCGTGGCAGCATCTGCCTTTCGTGGGCGCATGGCGCGCCCTGCTGAAGGCGAGAAGTGCTGCTCAGGGGAGGTCTGCATACAGCACCGGTTGAGGTAAATGCGCATAGGTGTGTGTTAATACGTGCTCGAAGGCTGTGATGTGACATCAGCATAGTTCTACAGCATCATGCTGTACTAGGACACTCTCATAGATTGCTGTGTGCTAGACAGCAAAACAGCAAAGCAATCCACAACACGAATGCATTGACATCACCTTTATGCATAAGTACACAGACGAGCAACACTGCTAGGGTTCAGGCTTCAGAGCATCAGTACCTCCAGGTTGGGGGTTTCGACATGTGTCATCAAGCCCACGGACTATCTTCTTTTCCCATTACTACAGAGTTGAATTCGCCTATTTCTCCAGGACCAGAAAGAATGTTCCGCACTGCATGCCAACAGTGGGGCTACGCAATTGACAGCACTTGGTGTGTAGGGAAGTGGAAACACGAGGCTTTACCAAATGATGCCTTATTGCTTCCGATCCTTATGTTCCAACAAGCGCTTAGCACACTTTCCTTGGGCAATGGTATCAAGCTGAGATGTGTAGAAATGCCAGGCGATCAGGTACCGGAACCGCTTGGAGCTCAGTCACCGATGCTGCATGGAACCCGGCACACCATGTTGATAGTTTCCGTTCCACCCGAGCAGCAACTAGCTGCGGAGTACTAGGTGAAGGTGCCTGGCTGGGCCACTGGCCAATGCTCGAAAAGCACCCAGGAGGAACGAGTGGCCAGCATGGACTTCAGGCTACCAGAAGTAGAAGTGACAGCAGCACCGCTTACTCAGGGTACGAGTTTGCAACCAGCCTCAGCCCCCCCAAAAAGAAGAGAGAAGCAGGGTGAGATCACCAGGTCTTGCATTACTCACTGAAGTGCTCCTCAAGCTCAGATACCGTCTCGCATGCAGATGCTTCCTCCATGAGTCGACGTCACAATGAAGAATCTCTTTGCTCCACGTGAGTTCAGTTCATCATCGAGGGGAGCACGCCTTCATTTTTTTGACAGGAAACATAAACTAGTAGCTGTACCTGCTCAGGTCACCGCTGCCAGGCGAGTTTCCACCAGCCAGGGGCTGTTGGTCAGAGGATACTACTGTGACGGATATATCCCTACCATGAGGATGAATTGTGTGAGGGATGTAATTAGGGGCTTTGTGAATGTGAAGTCCTTGATTTCTGGGAGGTTGTGGCAGAGTTTCGGAGGTGGGTAGCATTGCAGTCAAACGAGTTGGCTGACAGCCATTTAGTTCTGTTATCGATGGGTAGCAGCAATTTGGAGACCTTACAATTGCTGCGCTGGACACAAGACTAGGGGCATTGGAATCTGTTATGTCTTAAAGTTGTCTTTGCTTCAAAGTAGTTACAAGCGAACTACAACTTGATCGGCCTACATTAGGAGGACCCCCCACCCTGTAATAGTGGTATAATAGGAATATAAGAGGACCCTAATATAATCCCTATTATCGCCTGTAGTCACTATTACTGAGTGGGGGGTCCGCCTAAGGCCTACAT